GAAAGCCAAATCACTATAAAATTGTTGTTCGAAATGCTTTGCCTGTAAGAAAAGAATAAAGGAAGCAGATGAATACAAATAAATATCTCATAATAACACTATCGAGTGACGGATAAAAAATACGACACAGGAAGCACTAACTCAGGAGTTAAATTCATCTGCAGTGATGAGAGGAAGCTGCATAGTTAGTGTGAATCTAACTGTCTTCCGATTGCATACTAACCCTCATAAATGGTAATGAGTGCTGCCATTAAACGAAGGAGAAGAGTCTCACATAGAAGTACAGTTACTGCGTTCATTTCAAGGGTTTTGGAGAAGTAGCTATGTAGCTCTTGACATTTACGGTTATTAATCACAAGGGCACAGTTTCAACGACCTGTGTATGAGGTCAGAATGTAGAGGAAAGACTCAAAGGACAGATCCTCTACACAAACGTGCATTAAGGGCGATTGAGAATTATGTGAACGTAGCGGCCATTTGCATCAGTCACGCCTCGAAACTTACTACGTCGAGGATCATCCATTGGGAAAGTATCGAGATAAAGGCAACGCCTCCTAACGCTGCTGGCTCAAAGCCACAAGAAAGAACCATCTGTCAAAATCGAGGTTGCACTTGAATCGGCTCTTACAGAATGAGTTATTAATGCATCATAAGTCTGTATTTGCAAATCATAAAGTCTAGTTATGTCTAAAGTCATTCATATCATAAAGTCTACTCTAAATTCCATTTTTTCGAAGCATAACCAGATAACTACTTTCGTGAAGCTTAACATTAGCAGTTTCATTCTTGTAGATTATGGTGAAGAGGGCTTTGCATTTTTACTCGATTTTCTGGCTTCTGAGAACGTCACCACAGATTTGCTAATGATCTGAGTCAAAAGCTTTCTGAAAATCGACTAATACCAAGCAGATGGGAATCATGTATTATTCGTTGCTTATCTAAATCACATATTCTGCAACCTGAAGATGGTGTTGCACTAGTTTCACATCAGAATTCTGCTTAATTCTTTGTCTATGTAGTGCCCTGATTTTCTTAAAGTCTGTATATCAGTACGTTTGTGAAGATCTTGCAGATGATTGCCAACAAATCGATCGACCTCTCGTTTTACAGAGAATCTTTTTCTCCTTTTCATAGCATTGAATCACCGGTGCAGAAGCCCAGTTGTCTGAAAATTTCGGTTCCTTCAAAGAACATAAAAATATGGCCGCTAATATCATATTCAGTGTTATACCTCGTGACTGAACGAGTTTCACCGTTATGCCGTCTTTGACGGGAACCTGCCCATGACTCTAATGTTTTATTGTACGTCGCATCTCTTCGAGCACGACATCTGAAACTTCGTCAGTTTCAATTGTATCTTCATCTTCCTTATCCTCTCCACGACCGCGACTGCCTTCTATACCTCTGTGAGTCTTGCATGGAAATTTTCTACTCTCTTGTCGACCTCGACGACAGTTTTATTTATTGTTTTGAAAACTAATCGTTTTTGTTTTGTCATCTGCAACCATTAGTTAAATTTCTTCATTCTCAGACGGTTCTGAATAATTTCCTTCGCCGATTTACTGTCGAATGCCCGGACAT